AAGTATTTTATATATAGTTTTTGCTTTTTTTTTGAGGATTTCTTAAGATCTGTATTAACTCAAGGTAACTTAAAACTTTTATCGGTTTTTATAAATTGACGTTTTGGAAAATTTACATCGTAAATTTCATAAAAGGTTTGAAAGAATCTTTCATACATTATATTTGCTTCGAATGAACTGTTTACATGCTTCCAATTTATTAGAGAGAGCTGATCTTTAAATGATGTCATATTTTTATCATTGAAAGAGCGCTTGTAAAAGACTTTTTGTTGCTTTTTTATTATTTTTTTCTCAATGCAAATGGAGAAAAAATGGGGAAATGATCCGAAACGTCATTTTTAATTATACCTGTTTTAAGAGATTCATTAAAAACATCGGTTGTTATTATGTTGTCAATTAAGGTCGCTGACGTCGAGGTTACTCTAGTTGGTTTTTTAATAAACGGTATATCTCCACTTTGGAATAAATCAAAACTTTTTAATGTTGCTATTTACGTAGTATTCAAAACAATTTAAATTAACGTCACCAATTAAATAAATTATTTTCTTTTCTTTTAAGCTTTTTTTCAAAATACTACTTTGCAAATATGCATTAAAGCTTTCAATATGGCCTGATGGTGGCCGATAGCAGCAGCTTAAGAGTTTATTTTTATTGCTATTTTTTAAAAGTTTAATTGTTAAAATCTCTTTATTGTCATCAGAAATACTCATCTCAGGCCTGATAAAATATCTCAAATTTTCCATTATATAAATAAGAACACCACCGCCTCGTTTATTTACTTTTCGCGCTGTGGGATCATATTAAAACCTGGACGATGGAGATTAAAATTAGATTTTGCACCATCAAATTCACACCATGTTTCAGTTACGCATATTATAATAAAAGTAATTTAAGTTTTGTTTATTACATTACACACATTTTCAAAGTTTTTTTTAGACTTCTTATATTATAATGAACAACATTTAAATGATCCCGCTCTAGAAATTCCTTTATTTCTTTGTTACAAAAGTATGAGCAGTTGTTTTGTAAAGCTCCTACATCACTAAATCACTAAGATAATTTACATCCGGATCTGAATTTGTGTCAAGCACTGAGGCGTTAGATTGATATTAGTTAAATGATAGTGACTCAAAATTGTTTTGGTAGGTAGAATCCATTTTTAAAACTTAGATTATAAGAAATAAAGAAATTTATTTTAAATATATATATATATATATATATATATATATATATATATATATATATATATATATATATATATATATATATATATATATATATATATATACTGAATTTCAATACATAGCATAAAATATGTATTTGTTTGTGTGTGTGTGTGTGTGTATGTCATACCGACATTTATATTACATACAGAGGTGATTTTTAGAGAGAGTATGGAACACACATTCCCCTCCTTCCTCCAAAGAAGGTTATTTTCAAGTTATATTCATTCTTTTTACAAATTTATTCGGTTTTTTTTATGAATTTAGTTTAGATTTTTCCCAAGAAACAAGGAACAAACTTTAAAAAAGGGCCACCTTCATTTTATTCCCAGAATGGTTTCTGATTACATATGTAAAATGAATTGGAATGATTTTAAATATTGTAGTAGTAGTAGTAGTAGTAGTAGTAGTAGTAGTAGTAGTAGTAGTAGTAGTAGTAGTGGTAGTGGTAGTAGTAGTATTAGTAGTAGTAGTAGTAGTAGTAGTAGTAGTAGTAGTAGTAGTAGTAGTAGTAGTAGTAGTAGTAGTAGTAGTAGTAGTAGTAGTAGTAGTAGTGGTAGTGGTAGTAGTAGTAGTCGCACACACTGCATGAAAACACATTGCATGAAAATGAACTGCATTAAAAGTGTGCATGAAAACACACTCACTGGCAAAGCCAGTGAGTGTGTTTTCATGCACACTTTGACAGCTGTTATGCTTGATTGCTCCTCAACTGGTAATCAAGAACAACTTTAAAATTATCAACTGATTGTGCTGTTACGACATTTTGAAACGAGTTCCACAGCTCCGTAATTCTATTGAAAAAGAAATGTTTTATTTATGAAAGTGTAGCAAATTCTTTGTAATATTTAAAACAGTTACCTCCCAAGTTGTTATTTCCAAATAAAAAACTTTTGTTGATTTCTATATTTTAAATGCTATGAACAAATTTATATAATTGAATCAAGTCACCTCTTTTTCTTTCTACATTTAAAGTGGTTTAGTCCAATGAAGCAAGATGATCTTCATATATAAGGTTGCTTATTGAAGGTACAAGTTTGGTTGCTCTATGTTGCACTCTTTTAATAGTATCACAATCTCCTATCATATATGGAGACCTAACTGGAATAGCAAACTCTAAAAGAGGACAAATAAATGTAAAAAAAAGGAAACGTAAAAGTTAATTGTCAAACCTCGCAAATGATTTTTTTTACACGACCTAGCATCTGATTTGCTTTACCGATTTCCATGGTGACTTGATCCTTCATTCAAGATTTGCATTGAAAATAATACCAAGATCTCTTTCTGATTTCGATTCTAGTAATTAAACAACATTAATAAAAAGGGGACTCTTTTTGTTACTTGAACCATAATGCATGACAACACATTTATTTATGTTAAATCTAAATTGCCAATCTTCGATACATTTAAAGGCTCTATCTAAGTTATTTTAAATTTCTCTCTCACGCAGATCAGAATTCACACTTGCTAAAATTGTAGTATCATCTGCATATAACTTTGTGATGTTTTTCATTATCATAGCTAAGCCGTTAATATAAATAACAAAAAGGAAAGGACCAATAAATGAACCTTGCGGGACACCACTTATAAAGTCGACTCAGCTTGATACAATTACACCTTTAACTATTTATTATGTTGTCTATTTATTAGAAATGATTCAATTCATTTCGAAACAAAGTGATTCCATATGCTTTTAATTTTAGTATCAGCATTTTCTGCGCAACAGTATTAAAAGGTTTTGAGAAATCTTGCAGAACAACATCAACTGGTGTACCATTTTTTATGAATATTGCTATAAAATCAACAGTTTCCAGTAAATTTGTTCTACGCGACTTTTTCTTCACAAACCCATGTTGTTTTTGCGACAAAAAATTGCAATCATAAAAAAATTTTTCAATTTTACTTTAGACTGTTCTTTCTAGTATCTTACACAGAGCTGAAGTGAGGGAAAATGGACGATAATTTGTTGCCACTGTTTTACCGCTTTTTTTACATTCCCTAAAAGTTTAATTAAGTTATAGGGCATAAGTATTTGATGAATTTTTGAGCAGAACCGGATGAAGATTGTCTGGACCGCATGCATTGTTTTGATCAAGTTTTTGAAGACGATTTAAGACATTATTGTACGTTATTTCTTTAGAAAAAAGATCAGTAAATCTGTTAGTGCAGTTTTGTACTCTTGATTCTAAGAATGGTAGTTCACCTTGCTCATCAATAAGAAAAACATCCTAAAAGTATTTATTTCCAATATTTAAAATTTCCAATTGATTCTGAGATAGTTCTCCATCATGTTTTTTCAAAGCCTTTATTGACTCTTTTACATTTATCTGATTGTTAATGTATTTATAGAGCAATTTGGGATTTTTCTTAGATTTAAATACTAAATCTATTTTGTAAGCGGACATTTTTCACTTCTGATTTTACAAGACGTTATGTTTTTTTGTAATCAATACCCAGATTCATTCTTTTCCATTTAACAGCACAGTTTGTATTAGGTAGATTCTTTTTTTTTTTTCTTTCTTATAAATTTTTTAATTCTTTATTTATCCACGAAGTTGCTTTATTTTTAAGAAGTGAAACATTAACAACTGGAATGAATAAATTACTTGCTACGCTGGTATAATAAATCAACTCATCATACATCTCTTGGATCTGTTTATTTTCAAATAAATTGACCTAGTCAACATATAAAATAAATTGCGATATTTTAAAAAGTTTTGATATTTTATAAAAGAATTTACATATCTGTCTTTTGGAAGTACTTTTTTTTTTTAAACAGTAATTAAAAAAGATAATCAAATGCCCCTTGTTAATATTTTCTAGCACAACTTTTGTTTCTACTGCACATACTTTGCCAGATTCAGCTGTAAAAATTACATCTAACGTATTTGATGCAACTTCATTTTAGATTTGAAATGTAGGGACATTTGCATGTTGATATGGAAAAGTTTTGTTTAACAGATTTACGAATTTTTGCTCTATGTCAGTATTGACGGAAAATTTAAATCTTCCATTATCAAAACATCTTTAAATATTCTTTTACCAACAAATTTTCTTGGTTCTTGAAAAACTAAATCAAAATCATCCATATCAATAAAATCACTTGGCATATACAGACAACTATTTTGGTATTTTTCTTTACCGAAATACACGACAATCCTTGTTTAATTTTGCTTGAACAAAAGCAACCTCCACTAATTTCATATGAACCAACCGAATTATCAACATAAAGACATACACCACCTCCTCTTCTACCATCACATTAGTCTTTTCTCTAAAGGCCATTTAAGTTACAACTGAAATATTTTTAAACCAAGTTTCGCTAACACCAATAAGATTTGGACGATGAATACAAACTCTTATCCGTGAAATGATATATCTGAACCTGATTTTTTTTTTCTTTTTCTTTTTTTTTTTGTTAATTCACCTCCTCAAAGCCGAAAAGGCCACTACAGACAAGGACTTGAAGACTTGAGAGTGGGTTACAACTTTATGTGGTTGTAACCCACTCTCAACTCTATAACTCCGAAACACGAACCTTGACAAACAAGGCCGCTACGCGGAGAAACAAATTTTATTCCTATCTGCGCAGTTTTATGCATCATTATAATAATTAATCAAAAAATGTATGATACACGCAAGAGCAAACTGTAATAGATTATCTTTGCCTGAATTATCATCTCCCCAATTAAAACTCAACACGAGGTTGCGCTTTTAGGTTATAGATGTTAGAAGTGCGCCGAAGACGTCCGTACTTACCTTATTAAACATAAACAACGATTAAAAATGGTTAGCGGATAAAATTTCTAAAAATGAAGTTTTCTTGGTTTCTTGTGATATTCCGAATCCCTACTTTTAAAAGGTAGTATAAAAAAGACGACGATAATCTAATAAGTTACAGGAAAATACTTTACATATACTTTTATATCAGCCTGAAGTATTACCTCTCATAGTAAATCACTCGATGAAAGATGGTGTGATAATGGCATTAAGTCATAGTGAGATAAATTACACAATTACGAACTAGTTAGTTATATAATTACGTAAATATACTTTAAAAATATTTTAATCTGCCTTAATTATAAACCTTCTATCCTTTGAGTAAATCATTAACCTTGGGTCTGAATTATCACCTCTCCCTAGTAAATCATTCAATATGAGATGTATGTTGAATGGGGTTAAATGATATAACTATATTATTATAATAACATCTTAAACAATGTTGCTATTTTTTATTTGTAATGTAATTAAAATTTCTAGAGCATTCGATGTTTTAGTTGTAGGACTGTTTCTTTACTTTAGAAACAAAAAAAAGACTAGTGTCAATCATAGTTTTATTAGTTTTTTAGTTTAGTTATAGTTTTTTAGTCCAACATATCATAATAATTTTAATTCAAAGATTAATCTTGTATTAAAGTTTATATTTTTCTTAGTTTAAACTTTAATTTTTTACAATATATATTTTTAAGTTCTTTTTACAATTTAGATTTTTAAGTTTACTTTTTACAATATATATTTTCAAGTTCTATCTTTGCCATTTCTATTGTTTTATTTTCATAAACTATTATTGCTTGCTTTATATTTTCATTAAAAGGATTATATATTTTACTCGAGTTTAAAAATGTCTTTGCACTATATTATTTTTTCCCTTTTTTTAGTTCTTCCTTGAGGTTATTTATGCCCTTATTTATTTATGTTTAATTTGTTTACTGTTGAAATATGGTTTAAATTTAATGAATTTTCATGATTTGAAATTTACTTTAATTTGATCATTAGCCAACAGTTTAGGTAATAAAAATAAATTCAACAAATTGATTCAATCATTAAAGATCTGTACACCTAATCACTACAGCTTTATAAGTTGCTTACTGCTATAGCTTATTTAAATATTAGGTAAACTATTATATGAATTAAAAAATGCTTAGAAGTAAGAAATGTAAAACTTTTAGACTTAAGGTCAAAACCATAAAGTTTTTTCAATAAATAGGGAAATTTATCACAAGGTAACGAAAAAAGGTACATAATGTCACTTTGCAACAGTCACAATAGCAATGCAATTTTTTAGTAGTAGTCTCTTCCTAATACTCCAACCTAATATTAAATAATCTAACCTAAACTTCTAAAACACTTATGGTATCAATTTTGTTATTACCTAATCCTACCTAACACTCAATTGTATTTATTGTCCTAAACTTTGTCCGTTTGAATGATATAGGGCAATTATTAAAGCCAAATGATGCAGCAAGAAAATAAAGCAAGTTCTATCTTTGCCATTTTTAGCAACTTTAGCAACAGTATAATAATGCCATTACTTTAGCAGCAGTAGAATAATGCTATTACAGAGCATGGTTTTAAGCTTGTGCAAAATTTCATTGCTTATGTCAGAAGAAAAATCAGAAAATTTTATCTGATAAAAATAATTTTTTTAATTAGGCTTTCAATGAAAGAAAAAACTTATAGATTTTAAATTAAAAAGAATAATAATAAAAAGTCATGTTTTCTAGCACACTCCAATCTTTTTTGATTCAAGAAAAGCAGGGATGTGGAGTCCCAAAAGAACTCCAGCTTTTTAAATTTAATTTTTCCTGGTCTCTGGTGTCCAGAAGCTCTAAATATGTTGGTTGACTTATGAACTTCTATAAGCAAAAAATTGATGAAATTTAATGGCTTGGTGCTATTGTTTATAAGCCCAGAGTTCGTTTTATGTTTAAACTTTGAAACTTGTTGCTAGGTTAGCTTTAACAAAAATGTAAAATCTAAAGGAAAAAAAAGTGAAAATAGAAGCAACATGTTAATAATCACAAAAATCTTTTAAGTGAAATTACCAGAAAACAAAGTTATTCTTACTTTATGTTGAAATCAATTTTATTACCTAAGCTATTGGCTAATGATGAATAAAGTAAATTTCAAATTATGGAAATTTAAACCATATTTCAACAGTAAACAACTTAAACATAAATAACAAAAGGCATTCCCTCAATGAGAAACTAATAAAAGGGAAAAAAAAAACACAAAGGAATTTTTAAATTTGAATGAAATATAATCCTTTTAATGAAAATGCAATACCAGTTTATGAGAATAAAACAAAAGAAATGGCAATGATAGAACTTAAAAATATATATTGTAAAAAGTTGATTAAATTTGGAAATATATAAAAATTTATATAACATTACTATATCTTTAGGTTAGAAATATTAAAAATGTTGTGATATGTTGGGCTATACTAATTGAAGTATAATTTACGGTTGTCTTTTTACTAACTATACTAATTAAAGTAATTATACTTGACGGTTGTCTTTTTTCCAATGTTCTTAAAGTAAAGAACAAATACATTTTTTTTAACATCATTATTTCCAATCTGGTTGCTAGCAACCACTATTAGAGTTGGAAGTTACTGGATGAGAAAATATGGAGTTTATAAAGCAAGATAACGATTAACAGACGACTTAAAAGATTGCAAGTTATATGAATCAGGAAAACAAGGTGAGACCTACAACTTAAATATCAAAAGGTCTAGAAATTCCAATTCCAACTAATATATAGCTACATTATTTAAGATGTTATTATAATAGCATAGTTATATCATTTCTATCATTATCATTCAATAACATTATCATATATGATAATATTGAACGATTATCTAGGGGGTGTGATAATTCAGACGCAATTTTAATGATTAACTTGGGGGAGGGGGCGAAGGTGATATAGAGTATAGGCAAATATAAATTTATTTTTGAAGTGTGTTTACGTTATTATAAAACTAATTGGTTCATAGTTGTATAATTTATCTCGCTGTGACTTAATGCCATTGTCACACCATCTTATATTGAATGATTTACAAGGGTTAAGTAATTTCAGGCAGACATAAATTATTTTGATGCAATTCCATAGCTTATTAGTTTATAGTTGTATAATTTTGATCACTACACCTAATACCATTCTCACACTATCACATGTTGAATGATTTTTTAAGTGGGATCTGATAATTCAGACGTAAGTTTAATGATTTACTAGGGGAGGTGATAATACAGACAGATATAAAATATTTAAAAGTATTTATGCAAAGATATAACTAATTAGTTTATAGTAGAATACTTTTAATCCTTATCAATCTTTTTTACCTTGCGATTTTTTACTACTTTTTAAAAGATAGATATGGAATATCGCAAGAAACCAAGTTAATTCAATCTTTAGAACTCTTACCTCTAAGCGTCTTTTATTGTTGTTTATGTTTATTAAAGTAGTACCGACGTCTTCGGTGCACTTCTAACAGCTATATCCTAAAAGCGCAGCCTAGTATTGAGTTTTAATTGGTGGAGTTGATAATTGAGGCGGAGGTAATAGTCTACTACAAAGCTCGTCGTTTTGCCACAAAATGACGTTACTGCGTAATATTTATTTTGGTTTTTTTAAATTAGTGTTATATAGGGAGTTTTAATACACTTGCATACTTTTTTATTTTTAATACACTTAATATATTTATACTTTAAACAAGCTTTACTAAATTAAGCTAACTAGTTTATGTAAAAATATTGCCAAACAAATGAATATCATCATAAAATATTTAGTTATTTTAAAATTCCAACAAACTCAAACTTTTTTTTACATAGAGCCCCCCCCCCCTCTTTTTTTTCTTTTCTTTTCAACGTTTTTAAAAAAATGGTTTAGCACTGAAGCGCAAGTAACGCGTATTAATAAAAAAAAAAATTTCAGAAGCGTTAACAAGTTTTAAGTAACGCGTAATTATTACAAAAAATGTTTCAGCGCTGTCAGCTTTATTTACACAATAACAAACTTTATTAATGTTTTTAAAAACTTCAATTATAAATAATTATTACAAAAAAATGTTTCAGCGCTGTCAGCTTATTTACACAAAAATAAACTTTATTAATGTTTTTAAAAACTTCAATTATAAATCTTTGTTTTGAAATACATTTGCAATTACAAAAATATTTTATGAAGTTAAAACTTGTTCTTATTTATTTCGTAATTGAAAAATAAAATAAGATGTTTTAGTAATATCAATAAGTTACTTGAATTGCTTTGCTGCTTGTTCTTTTTTTTTTTTTTTAATTTTAATATACATAAATTACATCCATAAGTTGCTAGTTTTTTAAAGTAAACATTTTATAATTGGTAACGTTAAATAATAATTACATAACTAATATTTTGTTTATGAATCCTTTTATGGTACTTTAATTAAAGAAATCAATTTTATTTCAGAAGTTTAATGGACGATAACAGCGAACATTCGCTGTCAGGGTTTTTTTCAAGTCGAGAACCTCTTATAAATAATGTGTGCTGGAAAACGTACATTCTTGTTTGTTTATTTGGTATTGGATCATGGGTAGCAATAAATGGAATTTGGGTAGAGCTTCCGAACTTAATTAATGATACTCCAGAAGGTTGGAAGTTGGCATCTTATTTAACTGTCATATGTCAATTAGCTAATATTGGTCCTATCTGTTATATTTTTTTACGTAGGCGTTTTCGTGGAGAACGTTTTGAGCGAAATACCATATATACTTTACTCGTAACAGGTATTTTATCATGCACACTTTTGTTTAAAATGTGGAAGAAGACAACAGTAGTATTTGGCAGCAATCGCAGTACTGCACTTTTAACGCTTACATTTTTTCTTGCGTTAGTTGATTGTACATCATCAGTCACATTTTTGCCTTACATGGCAACTTTACCAAGTCAATACATGAGTTCTCTTTATATTGGAGAAACATTAAGTGGTTTCATACCTGGTATAGTTGCTCTTATGCAAGGTGTAAATTTATACGAGTCAAACTCAACTTCAGTTTATTATAAAAACGTAAGTGAAAACACTTTTCAAAACAGTCAAAATTTGGTTAAAGCGGCAAGATTTTCACAGGATATATTTTTTTTAATTCTTGCAATGATGCTATTTGCGTGCTTAGCTTCCTTTTTTTCTTTGAACAAACTTTCTATTGTTTTAAATCAAAAGCGATTGGCTCTTCTTGAAAATAAAATGGATTGTTTAAAACCAGGTAGAATTTCAACATTTATGTTGCTAGCCATTCTTACGTGGTTAAATATACTGCAAAACGGTGTAATTTCAAGCATTTCGAGCTACGCCCTTCAGCCATATGGGTCTATGACATATCATTTAGGTATTCTTTAATGAAACACGTCTGTTTTGATTTTTTGTTAGAATTTAAATTCTAACTTTTTAATATACTATGTATAACTGTATATTTTTAATTTAGCTGTCACACTTGGCTCATTTTCATCAAGTTTTTCTTGTTTATTGTTTCATTGGGTAACATTAAAAACAAGCAAAGTGGTTGTTATTGGGACAATAACTTACTCTCTCCTTTGTCTTTATACTGTTGTGATAGCACTTGAAAGTCCGAACCCGTGGCAAAAAGATAAAGTATCAGGAAAATCTCTGATGGTATTTTTACCTTTTTTATTTCAATGTGTGTGCATGCCAAAACATTAAAATGCCAAAACCGCGTAGGGACGTAGAACCTGTTTCTACGTCCCTATGGGGTTTTCGCATTTTAATTTTTTTTTATGTTCTGTCTACTTTATTGGTACAATATTGAACAGTTAGTTTGTTAATATAGTAAGCAAGCATTTGAACACTCGGTTTATTGATTTATTTATTTTTTTGAGTTTTTGTTCTTGAGTTCTGACAGAACTAAAAGTTCTGTCAGAGTTAGACAAATAAAATGCCAAAAACAGCATTTAATGATTATAATAACCTCGAAAATCTCATTGAACTGTATTCAACAACTATACCTTTTTTTTATTAATTTATTATCACAAGGATCGTTTTTTTCAGACGACAAATCTATTTTGTCTTTTTCTTAAATTTTTTATGCTCAAATTAGGATTTTTATTTGATGACTAAACCGAATCTTTTGCTTTGAGATATTTGAAATTACTTGAAATATATAAAAAGTAAAGCATAGACTTCACAAACTAAAGCTAAATTCCTACCTGTTGACTCGTCACAATAACAATTCGATTTCAAATATGATTGACCGCGGTTCTATATTTTTGTCAAAATCTTTTAAGAAAAATTTATTCAAAATTTACATCGCATTTTAAGTTACTTTAAAAAAAAGTACTTTAAAATAATACAAAAATTATGTTGATAAGTTTGAAGTTAGAGACAAAGTTAAACTTAAGTTTGAGGTTAAACAAAGTTAAACGAAGAAATTAAAAATGTTTTTTCAGATTTCAATGATTTTTTTTAACGTTTGTAAGTATGCATAATACGATCATCTTGTAGACCCCTGTCTACGTAATGTCCATGGTTCTTCTTATAAATTACGTCTGTTGGCATTCATGGTTCTTCTCATAAATTTTAACATTCTCTTATCCACCACAAATTAAAAATCAAAAATGCTGATTAAGCACGTTATAATTCTCATAGCTTTGTTTAAACCCAATATTAAAAAGCATTCGCTTTACTTATTAAATTTATTAAAACGAATCCATGGATACCATCGGATATTATAAAATCCTCAAAACAAAAAGCAATGCATATACAAAAATTATGAAAATAAAGAATATAAAAATTATAAACGTCTTTATTGTTATAGTATGCTCAAAAAAGTAGTATTGTACTGATCAATAACTTAAACAAATAATGTACTAAATACATGGCATAATAATAAAGGTGTTTGAAAAAAAGAAAAAAAAATTAAGCAGTAATAGCTTTCCGGAAAAAAAGTATTACAAATAACTATATTTTTAAAAGATTTTTTGATTTTTGCAATTGTTCAAGTTAGTCATCAAATGACGCAGTATAACTAAATCGTATCCATACCTCTGCAGTATAACTAAATCGTATCCACACCTCTAATAAAAGGGAAAATAACAAACAAACTAAAAAAAGAAGTATTTGACGACTTATTAAAACCAAACTAAGGTCTTGGAGTTTATGATGTGAGCTGAAATAATAATTATTAAATTAAGATTTTTTTAGAAATCCCGCTCTAACATACTTTTAGTATCTCTTTAGAACAATGAACCCTTTCTAATAAACTTAAACTTGAAATGGTAACACCAGTCCTAAAATCAAGAGATGTAACCCCCGTGTCGTAAATTTTAAATCTCTATAACGCTTTGGTTTGAAATTTATTAAAACATCATGGCCGACAAAGCTGGTTTCGAAGTGGAGGAGCACAATTGTCAATTTCTAAAAAAACATCATGGCTGACAAAGCTGGTTTCGAAGTGGAGGAGCAGAATTGTCAATTTCTAAAAAAACATCATGGCCGACAAAGCTGGTTTCGAAGTGGAGGAGCACAATTGTCAATTTCTAAAAAAACATCATGGCCGACAAAGCTGGTTTCGAAGTGGAGGAACACAATTGTCAATTTCTAAAAAAACATCATGGCCGACAAAGCTGGTTTCGAAGTGGAGGAGCACAATTGTCAATTTCTAAAAAAACATCATGGCCGACAAAGCTGGTTTCGAAGTGGAGGAGCACAATTGTCAATTTCTAAAAAAACATCATGGCCGAAAAAGCTGGTTTCGAAGTGGAGGAGCAGAATTGTCAATTTCTAAAAAAACATCATGGCCGACAAAGCTGGTTTCGAAGTGGAGGAGCACAATTGCCAATTTCTAAAAAAAGTCCTTTATATCTTACCTTACAAAAAAAAAAAAATTTAGAATTTTCTAAAAAAAATAAATAATAAGGTCTTTTAAAAAAAAAGTGGGGAGGGGGACATGCGCCCCCTACCTTCTCCTCCTTCCTCCCCCGTGTCGTCGGCCCTGCACATGTTATGTATAAATTATTGAACTATTTTTAAAATATTAACAATGTCTTTTATATTAAAAAACTGGAATTTAAAAAGGGTCGTCTTAATGTAAGGTAACTTAAGGATCATCTGGTTATCTGGTTTATAATATTTTTGAACCATTTGATAAGTGATTTAATTTCTAATTTATGTTTATGATTATTTTCAATAAAATTTCTTTAAATGATTTAATTTTAAATGATTATATTTACGATTGCGATATAAAAAGAAAAATCTTGTTAAAATTTGTAGGTGTACAAATTTTAACAAGTTCATATAATATATCTTAAAAGTAGTCTAAAAAATAAAGGCGAAATAAGTATCGAAGAATATTGGTCTGCGGTATAGAAGAAAATCTTTTCTAAATCCAATTTGCGTAAAACTCTTATACTTCTCCTTTATTCGTTGTTATATGAATTTTGAAAACATTACTAGGTGACGTACAATCAAAATTACTCATTAATAAACAATAATATGCAATCATAACAGTTTTTTGTCCCACTTGGTGCAGAATTGTCCCACTTGGTGCAGAATGTTTGCTGAAAAAAATCGATACTTTTTTTTTCTTTTTAACAGCTGCAATAATTTAGCGCTTTAAAAGCCGCTTGATCCTAAAAAATCTTTTTGTTACATAAAATATCATTTGCCAATTACAAAAAATAGATGGAATCAGGGGCGGATCCAGACCATCATGTAAGGGGGGGGATGATTTTTCAGCTACCCCACAAATCTTTTTTATATAATTTTCATTTGAATATTACTCTTTAATTTTGAATTTTAATCTTTAATTCTAAACAAACTACTATAACCAGTGTAGCTATGAAATGACGTCATATATTGGTGTCTCAGTAGTCCGGTTTAAAATTTGCACAGCACAACTTAATGGAATCACTTTTAAATAGTACGTTGAAAGTTTAAAAGTGAAAGAGAATTTATCGGAATTTCTAAATTCTTAATTTTTTTAATTACTTACTATGGTTTCTATTTTTGTAAATAAAACGTTACAACACATTTTCTCAGGGCCGACGACACGGGGGGCCAGAGGACACTTGCCGTTTTTTTAAGAATTAATAATTGTGCCCCACCCCTCCACTTCAAAACCCGTGTCGTTGGCCCTATTTCTTTTAACTATCTTACTTTTCATTTTTTTTTTTTTTTAAATGACGCAATTTAATGTTTTATTATTAATTTGATATTAGTAATGCTTGCTTTAAATATATTCAAAGTGACATAATAAACTGAACGTTAGGGATAACCAAAATATAAAAACATTTATTAAGGTTTATGGTTTTGCAGCAAACTATTTTTAAAATGTTTCTCTAATTGTTTAAATAATTATCTCTACAATTATCTCAGTTAATCTTATGTTTTTTTATAATTTTGAAAGAATAATTTACTTAATACAAACCTGTTAAATTAATGTAATTTTATATTCATGTCTTGTAACTGTCGCCAACGTTGAACGTAGCTTCTCAACCTTGCGAAGAATTAAAAATTGGCTCAGAACAAGAATGATAAAAAACAAACTAGTCGGATTGGCCTTACTTAATGTGCACAGTTTGTTTTTTGTCATTCTTGTTCTGAGCCAATTTTTAATTCTTTGCAAGTTCAATTTACGATTTCCCGACATCGCCAAACGGTCAATCACGTTCTCAATATATATTGAGAACGTGATTGACCGTTTTGCGATGTCGGGAAATCGTAAATTGAAATTTGTAATATAAGCTGTTAAAATAATCAACAAATCAAGTGTGCTTTTTCAGTAATTTTTTTTACAAATATTAAATACAAAAAAAAAGGTTTTTTCAATTCATGTAAGGGAGGGGGGAAGGGTGATCTCCTCCATTGCCCCCCTATAGATCTGCCCTTGGATGGAATGCTTTGAGTTTCTTTATTGATAAAGCTTACCAGGGTGGAGGCTATTTTAAAGGAATAATAATAAAAAAAAATAGATATATCTTATGTTAAGAAAAAAAAATGTTTGTGTTTCTATGGCAATTGTTAAAAAAAATGTAACAATGAAAATAATAACATAAAAGACAAAAACAAAGTCTTTTTTGGAAATGAAGCTGCATGCAACAAAAACTCTTTTGCAGGTTTTTGTATTAGGGATTTGTAACTTAATAACGGTAGAGGATCTGTCAAACCATATAAAAAAATAAACATCGAATCAATTGATGCTAAGTTTAACAATAAAAACAAATACAAGTCATTTACAGTATTGAAAAGTCCTAATCTGCAATGTTTGAGACAATTATATTATTGGAATGCATCATGATACCTTGAGAAGCAAAATACCACAACGTAGTATAGTTAATAAGCTGCAATTAGTGCAAACCTTTTAAAAATGTTCTTTACATTTCAAGATCAGCTTTCCTTTGCTCTACAACATTCTAAATCAACTCGGATACTAAACTTTGATTTAAAATGGAAGAAAACAATGTAATTAAAACGTCCAAAAATATTTCTTTTTGTGCATATAACTACAAAAGTTTTTAATCGAACTTAATTTATATTTCCGAACTGGTTAAGTTATTTGATATTAACTTCATATCAAAACATTACCTTTTAAATATTAAACTCTATTTGCTAAAGCAAATAGAGTTTAATATTCAAATCCTGACACTTTGTTAAAACACATACCAGTCCCGACACTTTGCTAAAACACTTAGCAATCCCGACACTTTGCTAAAACACATAACAATCCCGACAATTTGCTAAAGCACATAGCAATCCCGACACTTTGCTAAAACACATAGCAATCCCGACACTTTGCTAAAGCATATAGCAATCCCAACATTTTTTTCAGGAAAAGAGGCTTAAGATCATTTAGATGGAACATATTAATTGTTAATAAATATTTTCTATTGTTTCCTCGCATAGTTTATGAAGATGATGGTACTTTTGATATTAAAGGTAAACAATACCTTACATTATGTCTAAACAACGAGAAACTCATTTCAAAATATACACAACAACTAATTATTATTACGTCATTCATTAAAAGACATTACTATGAAGATGTAAGTAAATGTATTATTGCTGGAAATCTTCAATCATATCCCAAAAAGATCTACAATTTTGAGTACCATAATAACAAAACACGCAGAAAATTCTCTTGCCATCTTACTACTTTCATTAAATCAAATTGGCTCTTGTTAATCGGTATAATCAATGGCGCTGGTCCAACGTTTACGTGTTAGCATAAAACTCTTTTTAACCAATTTTATATTAATCACGATGCGGCCGTAAAAGAGTCGTATCTTTTGTAAATAGAGAAGTTTTTCTTCTTTTGCTTTTTAACTTAACGATCACTTAACAATAGCCACGGGTATCGGCATTACACATACTGATTTTCTCAACCGTATTAAATTGCACAAAAATAAATATAATCATGTTCCAAAATATAATAATGAAAACAAAAACATATGAATAACAAAAATTTCATCAATATGTATAACCATAGTCTTTCCATAGCTTTCAATAAATACACCTTTAATGAAAAAAAAGTCGAACAATAATTAGTGCAAACATGAAAATTCTCCTTTTGGTTGAAGTTAATTCTCAAATTATTTTTATTCTCTTTTCATTTTCATTGACCCAACACCTAAAGTATAATACATATAATTAAATAATTAGTGTGCTTTATAACTTTATTTGTGTGTTTCTTAATTTTATTTGTGTGCCTCATAATTCTTTTATGTGCTTCATAATTTTATTTGTGTGCTTCATAATTTTAGATTTTATTTGTGTGCTTCATAATTTTAGATTTGCGTCTTCGTACTTGGTTCATCAGTGGTATCTTATAGCAAATTATCAATTGCTGCAAATATGAGAAAATACGGTTCTAAATTTTTGCTTTATGCTGGATTGTCCAACCAAGTTGGTTCTTTTATTGGTGCTATTGTAATGTTTTTCGTCATTAATTTTACTGCAACTTTTAAATCCTAGTTTTTTTAAAACTAAAATATTTGGCTTTATTTTTTAACTCAGAATAAAAGTTGTTAAGAACAGTTTTTATAATAAATTTCAAAAATCAGCAAATTTTTATTTTATAAGAATTAACTTCTTATACTCCAGCAAACGATGGATTTGGAATTAATTAAACTGGAATTAATTAACGAAAATAAATTAAAAAGGTTAACATAAGATTCAAAAAATGATTTCTTGAATGACTGCATTAAGTACATTAATGACAGCAGATATTTAAGATTCTAATTGGTTTCAGACCTTTAAGCATAAATATTGAGAAAAACTGTTTTTAAATATATATATATATATATATATATATATATATATATATATATATATATATATATATATATATATATATATATATATATATATATATATATATATATATATATATATATATATATATATATATGTATATATATATATATAAATCAGGAAATAGGATAACTAAATGACTTTACATTGCTTACCTCCAAATACAAGTCACATGTTACAACCTCTTGATGTTTGTTCTTTTGCTTCGTTTAAATATTATCAAAAAAACATTCTTAAAAAGGTGTTTTTTAGAGAGAACAACAAGTACAAAGAAACATATACAAAAATTGTAATTTTTTTTACAAAAACCTGTAATTTCAATATAACGAAGCACTTTTGTAAGTAAGATTGATGATAAATTCTAAAAAAGTGGTTTCCATGTTAGTGGTCTTTACCCTGCAGGTCAAACAACACCGGGGGAGTCCAAGGGTGTTAGCCCCCTTCAGAAATTTCTAGATATAGAAGACTTTTTTAGAATTTGATAATTCTGCACCTCTCCTTCAACACCCGTGTTGTTGGCTGTGCCCTATTGACAAATTTTAAGTAATACAGCTTTAATACTTAATATTTTAAACTTAAGAAAAGAGATTAATAGTATGCATAAACCATGCATAAAATTAATAGTATATATAAATAAATGTGTCTGTAATAAATATATATTATCTCAGCAGTGCTTTTAAAAAAGGAATGGTAAGTTAGTTATTGAAAATATATCTATATTTACTAAGTGTGATATTTTTGTATTCCCCTTACATGTAAAAAAAAAAAGAGAGAGAAAACGTTTTATTGGAGCTATTGAATGAAAAACTATTTTATATTAAAAAAATAATTATAAAATAATCTAAACTTTTATGCATTTATATCCAACTCTACCTTATGCATATTATTTCTTTTTTATTATTTCTTATAAATATTATGTCTTTTTTACAATTTATTTATTAAGGATAACTTAAGATTTCTTATGTTTGTTTTCTTTACTTTAAAATAAGTTAATATTAAATAAACCATTTGTTTAAAATACTTTTTGTTTTGTGGTAAATTCATATTTCCTTAGCACAATAAGACTTCTACTCGGAGTTTTATTTTGGTGTTTTTAAAAACAAATCCTCCTTTTGAATTTTTTAGTCCACCGGATTTTACTTATACGTCAACAACAATCTAAAAAGCGGGATTGTTCTGCCAAAGAGCGAAATTAAAAATGCAAAAATTAAAAAAATTATTACTAAAAAAAAGCAGTAATGAATTCTAGCAATTGGTGGTAGATTGTGCCCTTTTTTTTGCAATAAAACTGAAGTTTCAAGCTTTCTTAAAAGTACTCTCAAAAGATGCAGCTAATTTTTACGCTTGTCATCAAAGTTACCCTTTAAAATAAAAATAAATAAAATTATTTAAGCCTCTTGATTCTTTTGAAATAAAAGAACTTTTTCCGCAATTTATTTCAAGTTTATAAACAACAGCTTTTTCTCAAATGTTTTAAATTTTTTTTTTGATTATTGAAATTTTTAAAACCAAGAAATTCATAATTCAGTATGATAAAAACCTTAACTTTGTTGGATTCAGCATGTAAAATATGTTTGCTGGTATTTCAAAAGAACTTTAATCGTAAAATATTAGAAATTTAATATCTTTATTTTATAATTTTTTGGTTGAAAAAAAAATTAATTTGAATAATATTTTAAATTATACTTCAAATGTTTAAATGCTTGATCAGGATTCAGGACTTATAAAAAGTTATAAGCCGATGAGTAGAGGAAGAAGGGGGCACAAATATTAATTTCTATTTAAAAATTGTTAATTGTTAATGATACTATTTCGGTTGCAGCAATGTCGATTGTCAACATAGGAAATTTTGGTGTTTGATGTTGGTCTTTCTTTCCTGTAATTTTTTTTTTTATATATATAGCGGCAATCTCAGTTGCTCGTCTGGACACCAGTCGGGCAAATTGCCGTTTTAAAACTAATTGCGAAATGACCACGGTAAATTACTGCTGCCTTAAAGCCATTGTTTTAGCTTCAACTAAAATATCGACTCATAATAAACGAATGATTTGTCTTGACTATGAAAGAGAATTTTTGGCAAAACGAATGAATGATAGCAAAATCACGATGAACCTGGAAATGCAGATTTTTTTTCATGAGATCCCAAAACATCAACACGAAATAAATATCTTTAACATTGCGCATTAAATATCTTTAATATACAACCACTATCCACATTTGCATTGTTATTAAGTAAAAAAGTGAGAAGGAGTTAATCATGATCACTGAAATATGGCTGAGAGCAAGCGTATTAAAAATAAAATTGTAACAAGCTACATTGAACCATCTCAGGGATCTGAGTTTGGAATTAAAGATAAAGATGTTCAGTTAGGAAGAGAAATCTTAGCTATACAAGTAAATGAAGAAACAACGCCAAAATCATTTAGAATAAAGTCTGGAATAGAAAAAAAAGACAACAAAAATGATCTTAATTTAACTGAAAAGTAAAGAATTTATCAATTTATCACCATTGCACGCAAATGAGAGACAACGAAAAATTGTCTATCTTAACCAAATAAAACTAGTTTTCAGCGAGCAATCGAGAAGAGACAAAGGTGTCTATCTTAACCAAATAAAACTAGTTTTCAGCGAGCAATCGAGAAGAAACAGCGAGAAAGAAGAGATGAGCTAAATGCAAACATGAAACATAAGGATAGCAGGTAGGCGTTGTGATGTTAACAACTAAAAAAAGTCTTTTTTTCTTGCAAACATTGGAGTTTTGAAAAAAATAACAGTGGAGCTTTCAGAGTTTGAATCTAACTACTTTTTACAAAAACAAGTGCTACAACCTGTACAACACCATAACCACCTAGATAATATCCAGAATTGTTAGAATTTAATAGACAACTTAGTGTTTATTATTAAGCATGTCCAGCTAACTATCTGTAACAAAAACTCCATCTCCATAACCATCAACAAAAAATCTAGCAACTATAGTAATTATACAGCTTTACGTGAAATCACCTGTTTCTATACGAATGTTTCATCACTTTGTAATAAAATGGACATTCTTGCTGCAACTCTCACAGTATTAAATTCCCCTATGATAGTGGCAATTACAGAAACTTGGTTCAATGATTACTCTAGCTTTCAACTACCAAATTAAAACCTTTTTAACAACAACAGACCTGATTCACATGGTGGCGTTTTTATACGACAAGGTACACAAGCATCTTACTTTAATGCAATTGACCTTCATAGTAAATGCCAGGCTATGTCTAGTGTATAATAGGTATGGTGTATAATAGGTATGGTGTATAATAGGTATGGTGTATAATAGGTATGGTGTATAATAGGTATGGTGTATAATAGGTAGAGTGTATAATAGGTAGAGTGTATAATTGGTATGGTGTATAATAGGCATGGTGTATGATATGTTACAAAATTTTAAAATTCCTCTTTGAATGTATTTATTGAGAACCATCTGCAAGCATAGAACTCAACAGAACAATTAATTGTAGCCTAATTTCTGCTGCAAATATAGCAAAAAAAAAAAGATATGGAGTTATAAATAATTGGTCATTTCAATCACCCTGAAATACAGTGGACAGCAGCTGGTGGCAGCATTAAGAAAAATGTAACAATGTTGAGTACTGACCTTTTGGAATCTCTCAACACTGCAGCTATTGAACAGCATGTCACAAAATCTACTTTTGGCAATAATACTCTTGACCTGGTGCTAACTGATTGTCCCTCCAAAATTATAGAACCCAATATTGGTACATCTCTTGGCATATTAATTTAAAATAATTTCCACTGCACTCTTATATGGATTTCCTTGTTTGAACCATCAATCTCACCAACCAGGGTGTTATTACTAACTTACTCAAACTATAAAAATCTAAACAAACTTTTTTCAGATGCAGAATAGAGGAATTAGCTTAAAAAGTTTAAAAACAATTCCACTATGATAAACCAGCTCCATGATTTTCAATACAAAGAAGGATCAGCTTAATATGTACTAAATCAAGCTACATCAACCCAAAAACAGAGAGACAAAAATGGTTTGCAACAGCTATTACAATTCTAACAAAAAAGAAATTTAAGCTTTGGTCAAAACTGCTAGCTAGCTTAACCATTACTTATCTATCTATCAACCCACTCTACAAAGCAACTTGCAAGCAGTTAGAAAAAGACATACTCGCTGCACGTAAAAAGTATGAATCAAGGTTTGTCTTACTTTCAAAATCTAATCTAAAAGTTGTATACAACTTGATAAAACTGCGGTTTTTGGCGATTTTTGAGTAATTTGAAAAAATACGAAGCGATTGGCCCAGATGGCATAAGTCCTAATGTTCTCAATAAGTGTGCCATTGAATTAGCTTGGCCTATTTCTCTTCTGATAGTTTCATTATTCGGAACCAGTGGCGGATTAAGACTTCTTGGGGCCCGGGGCTATTTTTATTTTGGGAGGCCTTTTTATGGGCCAGAGCCTAAAAATGACATAAAAAAAAGGTCCTCTAAAATTTTTGGAGGCCCCTAAATTTGTGGAGTCCGGGGCTCTAGTTCCCCTAGCCCCCTTTTTGATCCGGCACTGTTTGGAACAGGTATTACACCTAATTATTGGAAAGAAGCGATACCAATATATAAAGAAGAAGGTAAACTACATGACCCATCTGAATATAAACTAATATCTTTAACAGCCATAATACGTAAAATCATGGAAAGATTGTTAAAAAAACACTAAATTATTCACTAAGC